AGGTGATCGTGGACGAGAAGCCCTTCCAGTGCGGCGTCTGCGAGAAGGCCTTCAAGCGGGCCTGGGAGCTCTTCAGCCACGAGGTGGTACACAACGAGGAGCGTCCCTTTCGCTGCGACCTCTGCCAGGCCTCCTTCAAACGCCACTCGGACTTCAAAAGCCACCGACTGGTCCACACGGAGGAACGACCTTTCCGCTGCGAGCTCTGCGGCAAGCGCTTCAAGCGTTCCTCCAACCTCCAAGAGCACCGGCGCATCCACAGCGGTGAGCGTCCCTTCCGCTGCCCGCGCTGTGCCAAGAGCTTCAAGACCCCCTACGAGCTGCAGCGCCACGCGCTCACCCACTGTGCTGAGAAGCCCTTCAAGTGTGCCGACTGTGGGAAGGACTTCCCCACCTCCAACGCCCTCCTCCTCCACCAGCGCCAGCACTGCGATGACAAACCCCACGTCTGCGGGGTCTGTGGGAAGAAGTTCACCTACGGGCACAGCCTCAAGGTGCACGAGCGGGTGCACACGGGTGACCGCCCCTTCGTTTGCCCGCTCTGTGGCAAGGGCTTCAAGCAGTCCAACGCCCTCTCCTCCCACGAGCGAGTCCACACCGGTGAGCGCCCCTTTGTCTGCAAAACCTGTGGGAAGGCCTTCAAGCAGTCATCCTACCTGGTGATCCATGAGCGGGCACACACAGGGGAACGCCCTTACAAGTGCGAGGTGTGCGGGAAGGCCTTCGCCCGGCCCTCCTTGCTCCTCCAACACCACCGCGTACACAGCCAGGAGCGGCCCTACAAGTGCAGCTTCTGCCACAAGTTCTTCAAGGACCTGGCCTACCTGGCCGTGCACGAGAAGGTGCACACGGGCGAGACCCCCTACAAGTGCAGCGTCTGTGACAAGGGCTTCGCTCACCCCTCCAACCTGCTGCAACACCCGCGCGTGCACCGTGACGGCTGAGCCCCGGCGCGGCGAGCGCAGCCACGGTGTTGCCAGGCTGCGGTGGCTGTAAGCACGCCACCGCTGATCGCAGACAAGCCCCACGCTGGGGGACCCCGTGTGTGTGCCCAAGGACCAGTGCGGACTCCCCAAAAGCAGCGGTGCTTCTCCTGAGCTACAGCCCTTCGCCAAGCCTGGACCCGTGCCGTGCTCTCCTCCTCCCTCTGTGGGGGGTGATCCCAGCGGGACCCTCCCCAAGCCCGTGGGCTGTAAGCACGCCACCGCTGATCGCAGACAAGCCCCACGCTGGGGGACCCCGTGTGTGTGCCCAAGGACCAGTGCGGACTCCCCAAAAGCAGCGGTGCTTCTCCTGAGCTACAGCCCTTCGCCAAGCCTGGACCCGTGCCGTGCTCTCCTCCTCCCTCTGTGGGGGGTGATCCCAGCGGGACCCTCCCCAAGCCCGTGGGCCAGGGTGGCTGCAAGCTTCTGGCAGGCATGCCATGGCTCATGGCATG